GTTTACTGAAAACCGTACCCTACTAGCGTTACTACTCAATGCACTTGCGTGAAATGGATTTTCAACCGAGTGGAAGGCAGCCTGAATGAAGCAATCATCCAAGCATGGTAGGACAGTGGCCAAAACCTTGGGCTGCTGCTGTCACTAGATGGAAATCCGAAATCTTAAAACTGGCCAACCCAAACCAACACTGCAAGAGAGGAAACTTCCAACAAGGACTGGGACTTGGAGATCCAGTTTTATAGGGAGGGAATGACATCCTTTGAGGTACACCAATGTCCCTGCGGAGGAGAACACTCTTAAAATATTGCCACCTGTGTACGTCAGCACATGCACGAGGTACATATTTGCAGACGACTTTGTTTTGTTTCAGGTTTAGGGTGTCGGAGCTCAGTTCGCATTTTCAACAACTGTATTTGAAACCTTACCGACGTCACGCCACGCAGGGAGAGCAGCTGCACAAATTAAGCCACTGAAGTACAAAATGGACGACACTATTACAGCCCGACGAACGCCGAAACAATCTGCCAAGACGCTACAGGGCAAGGGGAACCAGAAATCCAGGCGCTTCAATGTTGACTTCGAAATGACACAGGTACAGCAACTTTTCCTACATTTCAAGCTTCTTGACATCAAGAAAAAAAAAAAAAACACCACATTCCCATTTCTTTTTTTTCTGGGCAGCTCCCGTTCATTATCCAAAGTAACAGATGAGTTAAAAAGATTATTCATTGGGAGAATATCGGCATCAGAACTGCAGTGAGCTGCTTACTAGGCATCGGAACAAGGCACACCACACACCGAGTTTGTGATGAAGTGACAACATTGCCATTATGAAATCATCATGAGATGCATTTTTCTGGAATTAAAATTGTCCCGTTTTCTACTTGCTGTTGCCTGTCCTGTGATCGGATCAGTTAACATGGCATGCCTATGCCTGACTCATTTAGGCAGTGCATACAGTATATTTCATACATTGACAATGACACAGGAGGTAAAGAAGCTTTTTTTGTAAGAAAAAGACTGTCTTCTAGGCAGTCGTTTGTCATCTGTCGAAACACTGCCTCCACACTTTTCCTTGCATAATGCAACAGCTTTTAAACACTATAAATCTTCGCGCTTTATCACGCTTTTACAGACAAGACTGAGAAAGGGGCTCTCACCACTATCACGTCTCTTACTGCCATGAAAAAAAACTACATTTGCTGACATTTGCTTGGAAAAGGAGTGTTACGTACAGTCACAGGGAGGATCCCAGAAGGTCAAACACTGTCCCCCAAAAGTGACTCGAGTCGTGCTCTCCAAACTGTGATAGAAACTGGAGAAATGAATTAGGCCTTAGAAGTTTATTAAACAATATAACAGGATATAATTAAAGATATACTCCAACATTTACTATTAATCCATTTGAAATATTTAATAGATCTACTAAACATGCTTATAGTTCAATTCCAATTCAGCACTGAAAATGCTGGCATTTCAATAAATAACATCCTTTTAGAAGCAAACATCTTCCTTTGTTCTCTGAAACAGGGTAGTTCTGGGTCTCCTGGCAGTGAAAATACACTAAACGAACTACAGGTGTCCACATAAAGCGCAATGTAGGCCAGAATCCTGTGGATATTTTCTGAAGGAGATATTAGACTGCGTTCAACAGCGATACCAGCATCAAAGTATTTCCTTCAATAGACGGGTTTCCTTCCAAATCCTGCAGGTGTGCATCTGAAGATTAAGCTTCCTGCAAAATACGAAAATGTCTTCACACGGGTCTCACAAAGCCGTCTAGAATTGAGCCGGGAACGCGTTCCAAACCTGTGGTGCAGAATCTGGGACCACACAAACAGGGTCAAGAAAAGAGCCAAAGATAGCGATTCCAAATCGGTACTCTGCTCTCCGCAGGAAGAGCGTGTCGGGACCGCCGGCATGCGTCTCAGTGCACCAAATCTTATCCGTTCTCCCACGTGCCAAACAGCGTACAAGCAAAATATTTTTTTAGAAGCACATTTCCACGGAGCCAGGCAGCTATACAAACCTTTTCACTCCTGCTCCTCTGCTCGGAACATACATAACTCAAGTATGTAGAATTCAATGGGTGAACGGACATCTCCTACTAATGGTCTGGGTTCCTCTTTTAATTTCAGTCACTGTGCGTTTGTTAAACAAGAGTCTCCTGCATACCCATCTGGTAATCAAGGGAACAGTCCAACCCCCCCCCCCCAAAAAAAAAGAGAAATGATGCCTGTGCACTGCAGAGGGAAAACGAGACTCTATATGACGCTAGACTTGCATTTAGAGAGCCTGCTCGTAAAGGAATATACGACTTGAATTCCTCAGCCTTGGTTGTGTGGTGCTCTGCCAACAGGCCAGTGAAAATCAACTCGCAGTCAAAACCTGTTAACATGCCCCTAAATTTCCAACCAGAAAACTACAGGAGTGTTCAACTTCGCTTGTAATGGGATTCCAGTCATTCATTTCCGCCAGCAACAGACCTACCAGCTCCCTGGGCTGCGAAATCCAGCATTTGAAACTCTACTCCACAATATATATTTATATTTATATACTTTATTCATATTTATAGACTTATATGTTTCTAGGTTCATCTTCCCATTCCTGGACGTTTAAAAGAGGGGTATATATGCTTGTACTCAGGTGGCAAGGAAAAGACAGAATTCCACAATCTCCTAAATAAAAAAAAACAAACTTAAAAACAAACAGGTCCCGAGGACACAGATGGTGAAACGGTTAGTGTGCATATACAGGCGAGTACTAGGGAGACCTAGGACTGAAGAGTTTAGAACGAGTGACTTGGTTTTCATTGCATTTTGCTTTGCAAGGGGATCTTGTTGCCCTGGCAGGCATACAGAAGAATGGCAGAGTTACATGAAGTATACAGCCGGCCCGCGCTCTGTTAAGGCAGTCTCTTGCGTGGCTGGCTGTGATAAAGTGCAAATCCAGGAGGGCATATTGGTTTGTTTCGTTTCTCTTTCGTTGTTTCTCCTCCCCGCCGCGCCAGCTTCAGTAATCCTCCACCCAACCGTTCTCCGCGATAAAGGCGTCGATGACCTCCTTCATGGCCAGGTTGGGGATGAGCTGATCTTGGGTCAGAGGGCTTCGGGTCACGGGGTCAAAGTGTCCGACTCTCTGCAACACCAAAGATACCCAAAGTGCTGCACAGGTTAAACACTAGAGGGGCCCTGCTTTACAACTTGCCCCATCAGAATCACATCCCGATTGGTTATTTAGCGCAACCCAGTGAATAGTCAGCTTTAAAAAAAACCCAAACCCCCTACAATTCCTCTCAACAAGGTTTCATGCAACACTAAGAGCCTAAGTAACCATAAAACTAACCAGCGGGACCAAATGGGTAAACATGAACCAGGCAATTGTGTTACAGCCCAATTTAATTATTCAAAGTAAAAAAACACGTCCCAGTCAACATACCACAAGCTGTGATCTAGAACCGACAGAATCTACTATGTGAAAGGAACCTCATACTTTGAACAACTGGGAAATTCCAGAGAAGAAGAAATAATTAAAACCTGTATTTTATTGCATATAGGGCACAGAAAGTGTCATCTTTACCTGTAGATGCTCCTCTATGTCTTTGCGGTCGTAAGTGATCCCACTAGGGGTGATGCAGGGCTCCCTCATCAGCTCAAAGCTGATCTTTCCACAAAGGTAGTCGGGAATTTCACGTTTCTGCATGAAGCGAGACGCAGATTACACGGGCTCAATGCAAGCAGTTCTAAAAGCTCACGGTGAAATAAGGTCAGAACTTCACAAAAAGCAGGGGTGGCTGATGAACTCTGCCAGTCAATAGGTGCAGCAGCAGCTCTCGAGAAGAGTTGGAAAGGTTTTATACAAATACAGGTCAGCCAGTTTTACATAGGTTCAGTTTTTGGAACTTATTGACTTGTGTTTTTTTCGTATTCCAGAAAAAAATGGAATCGATTAGTTATACTGTCTACTTAGCCTGAAACGTGGGAAGTTTTAGTACAAGTGACAATGATTCCATGCGGGGAAGCTTAAATATCTGTATTGCACCATTACTGGAAACAGAGGCTGCATTATAATTGGGTAGTGTGATGTAGAAACTCACCTTTCTTTTTTCATCAACCTGAGAAAACAGCTCATCCATGTCGGACAAGTATTTATCCTATTGAAGACAGACAGAGAACTACCATCAAGGGACTAGAAGCACAGTAAAACACATCAGCACATCAGGAGAAATGGCCCGTCAGAGACAGCCAAACCTCAGCAGGGCCATCAAAAACATACCCTCAATTCCTACAGTGCCAACATCACAAACGTTTGTAATGTTTTTTTCCCCTCTGACATCCAACAATGATGACAAGACTCATGCGGTCTCCCATACATCACATACTCGCAGTCTGAACTCTACAATT